AACGACAACCACCACGCCCGTCACTACGACCGCAGGACCGGACGAGGAGGAGATCGAGCCACCGGCCATCGTAGTCTATCTCGTCGATCCGTTCTCGTTGGGTGGCACCGAGGATCCCGATCGACGGCGACTCGCCATCGTGGCTCTACTCAGAGCTTACTCTTCCGCGATCAATAGCATGCCCGAAAATATTAGGTCAAATATCAATGTGCAGGTAATAATTTCTGTAATGCGGGACGATTTGGGCGGGGGGAGGGGGGGGATTAACAATCGGCGATTGTCGCGCGTGTGCGTGTCTAACTCTCGAGGCATCGATTTGCTTTTAGTTGATATCCTTGGAAAGCATTATGGAACTGGGACGTGCCAGAGAAAGGCGAAAAATTCAGGACGAAATGAGAGCTCTGGCTCTGAATGTTTTCCTGCAAGGACGTCGATTGCTGAACCACAATTCCACGGTGAAGAGCCTCACCGGTTTCGGTACTGCCGCCGCTGCGGATCTCTTCCTTAAGAGTAAAGACGTAAGGCCCCACAATAATATTGTTGCTGTTAGCTTCGAGTAGTCACGAAATACGGATAATTCGAATCCTACCGTTATGTGGCAGGAAATAAGCGTTAACTTTGCGTTTAGATTAAAGACCCACGATGTAAAATCGTTTTCAGTCGTTTAGTAATACTCTTGCAACTATACATCAGGAACGGAACAAGGCGCCTTATCGGCTCTACGCACCGGCCTATGTGTTAGCACCGTTGCGTGCAAAGAGCGAAGCACCCGAATCGTTCGGCATGCCGGGGCCGGAGGAATGTTCGGTGCTCTACTTGAGTTACTGCTTGAGCGAGGATCAATCTTGGCTGTTAGCTACTGCGACTGACGACAGGGGTGAAATTTTCGAGACCGCCACCATTAACATTGACATACCCAATAGGAAAAGAAGAAAGCGCGCCTCGGCTAGGCGCATCGGCCTCCAAAAGCTCATGGATTTCATACTCGGTGTAATGTCTCAAGGTGTAAGTAAAACATTCATATATGTGTCATTCATTACATGGCTCTCAGGTTGGTCGTCAATCTCAGTTTTGAAATTATGCTTGGCTGCTGAAGTTGTTAGAATGAACATCGTGATTAGATGTAATGATGTTTTCAGTCGATTCTAATTGATTGTACACTGATTAATAATTAATTCATTAGTTGATTAAGTTATTCATAATTACATAAATGACAAGTGGTTAGTATCGATTATTGATTTGCTGATGATTTTACTCAGTTAAGATTTTAATCAATTTTAATGTCTCTAATGTACACTGGCGTGTGCAACTCGTGCACCAGTCCTTCTCTCTCTCTCTCTCTCTCTTTCTCCCTCTCTCTTTCTCGAGCTTATTAAAACACACAAATTTGTGCCGCAGGTACAACCATGGAGACTAGTCGTAGGCCGAGTAGGGCGTATCGGACACGGCGAATTGAAAGGATGGAGTTGGTTACTTTCTAGAAAAGCACTCCTGAAAGCGTCCAAGCATCTAAAAGAGATATGCGGCCAATGTAGTCTCATGTATCCCTCAGCGGCACCGTGCGTACTCAGCGCGTGCTTAGTCTCACTTGAGCCGGATTCCACTCTCAGATTAATGGCCGACCAGTTCACTCCCGACGAGAGATTCAGTCAAGCATCCGTAAACTGCCAATTATCCACACCGCAGGATGTTACGTGTACTCATATACTTGTTTTTCCCACGTCCGCTACTTCTCAGGTAAGAAATTCGGATTAAACTCGACGGATTAAAGTCACGTTATACCTGCGCATTATACCTCACGTCGATGCTAAATACTGGTACTTTTGGATTTCCAGTCATCGCAGACAGCGTTTCAAGAGCAACACATTAACGTACTGGGGGACGAATTGTTCGAATTTTCCGCTTTAAATGACGATATGCCGGAAGGCATGGAGGGAATGGGCGATTTTAACGATATATTCAATGTTTGGCCCGAACCAGGAGCAGGCAGTGGACAAAGCCCGAGTGGAAGTCCACATCGTCCCGAAGGATCACCACTTGGCGGGGACGGTGGCGGATCAGGCTTGGGCAATCACGATGGTCCTGGTAGTCCGTTTCCATGCAGCAATACTCCGAGAGTAAGTATAAAAAGGAAGACAGAACGTCTCAGTACGATAGTACTGAGTAAAAATATACATAATATCTACGTTCAAATGTGACGCATAAATATATTTTCCGCCGAGTTAACGAATGTAATTCCGTCTGAATTTCGCAGGTAGCGATAGCAGAGCAAACGGAAGAAGTCGGCACGCTTTTGCAGCAACCACTCGCTCTCGGTTATCTAGTATCGACTGCTCCAACGGGGCGTATGCCACCGTGGTTTTGGGCAGCCTGTCCACATCTCGAGAACGTCTGTCCGGTTTTCCTGAAGAACGCATTACATCTGCACAGTCCCGCGATACAGCAGAACAGCGACGATTTACTTCAGCAACAAAGCGCACCCACAGCTCATCCGTTGGACTCACAGTATACCACTGATGTGCTTAGGTTCGTATGATTCCGTCGTGTGATTCCGTATCGAGCGAGGCTCGAGCTTCTCTGCAAGTTGTCGATGACATATTAGCGATAACAAGTGACGCGTATTTTCATAGGTACGTATTGGAAGGGTACAATGCACTGTCGTGGCTCGCGATGGACGCGAATACTAAGGATCGGCTGTCCTGCTTACCGGTGCACATACAGGCGCTCATGCAACTTTATCATACAGCGGCAGCTCTCGTCTGACCCACACCCTCTCCCTTTGTAGTGCAGTATGTGCACCTCTCTCACGCACTCCTCCTTATCGTATCGTCACTCGGGGCTTTACGAGAGCAACTGATTTCCTATGCCCTTTACCTAAATACGTTAGTGACTTAGAGAGATTGTCTAGGTACAGAGTACGTACGATCCCTCGACCAGCAGCCGTCGATGATTCCTCACGTGTAAAAAGTAAGCCGAGCCTTTTTTACTCGGAATAATAATTAAAATACGACACACACACACACGGTAATATGAATGCAATGGTTGAAAAAAAAAAGAAAAAAAAATAATACAAAATATCCGACGAACGATCAGCACACAGCGACTCTCTTTACCATTTTTCTATTATAAACAGGCGAAATATAGATTGTACTTTGTGTTTATGAATATCAAGTAAGGAAACGAGATGCGTGTCCGTAATACGACCATTGTCAGTGAAAGCAGCATTATGAGCGCATATGTGAAACTTAGCGGTATGATAGAGAGAAGCGAGTATGTTGCGCAAATGATTGTGAGCAATGAAAGACGCTGTGTGGAAGAAAAAGGGATAGGATAGGGAAGAATGGTAAGAGAGAAAGGGAGTACATATGAATGAAAGAGAAAGAGAGATTGAGAGCGAGAAAGAGAAGAATGACGGATGGCAGAAGAATGTATGAGAGAACAAAAGAAGAGAGAGAGAGAGAGAGAGAGAGAGAGAGAGAGAGAGAGAGAGAGAGAGAGAGAGAGCGAACGAGCGAGAGAGAGAGAGATGCAAAGGAGAGTGCATAATAAGAAAATGATTTTCATTGCCTCTCTATCGATAGATAGCTGAATTAAAAATCAGAATCTCTAGAAAATTATGTAACCAAAAGTTTTTAATTGTAAATTAAATTTTGTACAAAGCTTTTATTATTAATAACGACGAAGTAATATAAATGATATTACGTTGTTTTTTAATTTTATATAGATGATATAAAAAAAGAAAGAGAGGTGGACTTCTTTTTTATAAGCGATGCCTCGTACAAGCCCCTGGTGTGAAGATAAGTATGACGATTATAATATTATATTATGCTCGCGCGGCACTGGGTCGCTGTTATCATGTTTCCCGGACCCGTTAGCGCAATTTTTCGATGCTGTTTGACAAATTTTATTCGAATTAGGTGACCTCTATATATTATACATACATTATAGTGTGTAAAATATTGTTTTTAAATAATTTATGAAGTGAGACATCGCCGAGATTAGATAATTGAATGAGAGAGAGGGAGATTAAAACGCGAGTGAGCGAGAAAGAGTGAGAGGGAGAGAGAGAGAGAGAGAGAGAGAGAAAGAAAAAGAGAGAGAGAGAGAGAAAAAGAACGAGCCAGTTATACGCAGAGATTGTTTCCTTCAATTTAATCGAACGAAGAAAAAAAATGAAAAGACACGAAGAGAGAAATGTGGGGCGCGTCTGAGTGGAGCCATGGTGGCCAATTGCGTCAGTCGCATAGTACAAATATGACTTGTACATAGAACCTCTCCCCTCCCCCTAATTAATTGGTTAATTTACTCACACACCCACACTCACTCTGTATCTATAGTATTTATTACTGGGTAGTATGTCATTATTGGGATTATTATTAAAAAATTATTATTACTATTATTATATATTAATATTACGAAATACAGTTTTATGTGTATATATATATAATTACATCTCATTTTTGTATTTGCAGCGTGTCTGAGAGATATTATATTGCAAGCACAGTAGTAATCTATATATTAGAAAATGCCTTTGGTTCCCCTACGTAGTATAACCATTCAAGATATATATATATACATGGAAGTATCTCTATGCTACATTCCAAAGAAAACAAATAAAAACAAATAAAATAATCTCCTCGATGCTATTCTGAGAGCATGAAGAGAATAAAACATGAAGGTCTCTGCTGTCAGTTATATTTTTATTTAAGGTAAAGTTTACACACTTGTATATTATGTAAAATTATCACATTTGATCTTTTATATACTGAATCCAGGTAGTGATTTAACAGATTCTTTTTTTGTCTAACTTGAATTGAAAGAGTCGCAAATTGCTAGGGTGTTATCTACTGTGCTTGCAGTACATATCACCCTGTCCCGTAAATTAACATTTTCGTTAATTATCTTTACTGCGAAGTTATGACATTCCAAGAAATTTTAACATACAGATACGTATAAACATATTACTTATCTAAGAAGTACGATATATCACACTTTTAATCTTCTCGGGAGGGGGGGGGGCATATTACACCTGATCGTTGGCTTGAATGGACTAGTATCGTGTATAAGACGAAAATCGTAAGAATCTATTTATTTGCAACTTATTATTTACGACAATGTTTCACGGACTAGTAATCGGTCAACGTTGACGCTTGATCCGGAGGGAGTTTCTTCAGGCCATGATTAATCCCGTATGGCCTCAAGTGATAGATCAGATATTCTAGAACGTACATCATGTTCGGTGACACATAATGAAAGGAAACAGCGCTGTCGGAGCAACAGTTCAGACCGTCCTTGGTCTTATAGTAGATGTATTTCCAGTACCAGAAGTTCTTGTCCACATGATTAGGTATCAAGTGATGTTCTGGCACAAACGGGAAGAATCTACCGCGTCCATGGGGATCTCTCGTGTCCATCGCGTGTACACCGATCTTCTCCAGGCACTTCCCCATCTCCACGTCCTCCGCACCGCCATTGTCTGGCCGGCACTTGGTCTTATCAGGTAAACCCTCCTCTACGAATTTACGTAGACCCTCCTTGCTAAGTACATATCCCGCACCACCGCTCATGTAGCCTTGTTTTACGAAAGGTTTGAATCTGCAGCCGAAGTATAACGACGAATTCGGATTATAGGGCGACAGCATGTACCGCAGATTTTCCACCACCACGTATCTGAAAATATCGTATGTATGAATAGCTTTTAGCTTTAGGACGTGAGAGTGACGATTGTTGCGAAAACGGCAGTATACACTTACGTATCGTCGTCAGCTTTCATGAACCAATCTACCTTGTCTTTGTACTTTTCATAAGCATACTTGAATGCCTCTTTGGTTTTAGCCCATAGATTATCCCTACCTTCCTTCACCGGCAATACTACAGTAGGTAAACTGGCATCTGAAAATAAACGATAGTATGTATAAATTTATTTCACTATCGCTTCTATTCAGATGTATTTGTTAAAAATATCAGACCTTCCGCGGAACTCATAAACAGGAGTACATTGCAGCGCTTTCCCCATGTCGCCTTTACATGACGAGCTTTGCTCTGATGATTCTTCGGACCAGTCATGATCCAGCAGAGAACACGTACTCTTTTCGCCATATCCTGTGCAACTTTATCTTCCCCTTTATGAAAGTCTTCATCTTCACCATGGAATGTTACTTCAGTGTCTGGTCCAATCTAACAAGCCATTAGACAGACGGAAAATTGATAAGTCAGGTAACAAGTATAGAAGTTATCTGCATCTTACAATTCTAGACATGATATCATATCAACCTCTGCTTCCAACTCCGAGTAATGGTGAGGATCTCTGGAAAGGGCGGAGCCACCCGGAATCCAGTTGAACATATGCGGCACATCTTTCGTGGATGTAATAAGCAACAATGCCAATATGAAACCGAAAGTGACCCCAACTGCGAGAGTTAATACAAATCGCCGTCCACTTCGACCACCTACGTGTACAACTGCTCGTAAATTTCGATTACGGTTTCATTCGTTGTATCTTTACTTACAAGCTACGAGTTTATATGAGCAGAAGAATATGTGTCTATTTTCAGGTATTTAAACAAATACTCACCATCGAAACTAGGAAGCCGCTGCTGCACCATGATATACCATATAAACTGCGATTTAATTTGATAATATTATAAATATTTTAGTATGAATTACACTCTCATTCCTATTCATGTTTGCTTGTAAAAATGCGTGATATAATATTTCACTTTTGTCTTCTGAAAATATTGAGAAAAATTATACAATGATTATTTATTTTATTAATTTCATCAAAGAAAGCCTATTTTTAACAGGTATTTATTAAATATTTGAATGGGTGGCATTAAAAATAATCCATTTCTCTTATTTCAATATATGTTATAATAAAAATGATAAATGATATATCTTAGCATTAACTGATAAATAGGAATTGCATTTACAAGATACCGGTAAGCATTTACATTATATGAACCTTTTCAAACATAAAAATATTGTTTATATTCTAAAATTGCATGACAATTCCTTTATATTTTATTATTTTATGGAGTTTAAATTAATGTTATTACACAAATTAACAAATTCAATGTTACATCACTTCAATGTTAAGACAAACTCATTTAGCACCTTCGTAAATAAAACCCAAATCTTCCATGCATACCTGATAAGTCAAAAGTATCGATGAGATAAACTATCCAAGGCCATTTTTTATGAGCTCATATATAAAGCTTATAAGTTACAAAAAGATAAATGCTCTTCACAGCACATTTTTCCTCTTCTTATTTCACTTTTAACCACAAAAAGAATAGTTAAAACTGATCCTTTATATTAATATAAGGAAATGATGTTTTTGTTATTTGATACAAGATAAATTCAATTCAGCAATCAGGATCTAAAATTATAGTGCTTAGGATATGAACAGCGTTATTAGATAGTTATATAAAAAGCGATAAAGTGGCTCAAAAACTTTACAAAAGTATATCTTGCCTATAAACTTAATTTATTCAAGTTACACTTATTCTCTTAATGTACACACGACTCACAAATAAATCATATTCACAGTTTGATGTGATCTGATACTGAACTGTGTCTTTCTACTTCTAGTGCTGTTTACATACTGCTGAGTGGTATGAAACATTATCTTCGCTAAATAAGCATTTTATTACTAACATGTATTAGTGAGTTTAAACATGAACACAGATCGGTAGAAAAAGCAAACATGTTGTTCCAGCCAGTTATCATTACGCAATATAGTAATTACATGCAGCTGTACACCATGTAGGAAATAATGAGATAGGAACATGCATTCAATACAAGGTCATTCATATCCATAAAGCCATGTTGCGTATTCTCGAAAGAGCAGATATTCAAACAAGTAAAATTTAAATTATACTGCAGAAGACACACTTCACTTGTGGAAGAAATATGAAAAGGTATACTATTATAGTGTTGAACACACACACACACACAGTATGAGTTACTGTTTTATATATCAATAGATCACATGTCACTAGACGAATTTCATTAGCAAATTAAAACTTTGTCACAAATCATCAGATCATAGATGAGCGATACACGAATATGTTACCTTATTGGAGGAATTTATAAGTATAACGGAGTTATACCTATCTCTGAAAGATATATGTACTCTTATATACGTATAAAACTGTACAAACCTATGACCAATAATTATCAACAATATTTATGGCACTATGAGATAATCTCTTGTATAATCATCATTTATCTTTAAGTAATAACAAAATGCTTATTTCACCGTCACATGTTACCCATATGATTTACTGGAAAACTCGAGAGTATATGATTTTTACACAAATCCGACGCGTATATCCTCCAATCTTCTGAGAAATACTATCACTATCGTCATGCAGTGTTTACCCTGTCTAATACAGGATACAAGATTAAACGCGATAATAAGCCGCGAGATCAATTATAGATTAAGGAATTGATGTGCGTCTGCAAAACTTTCATGTTCACGGCTACATCTTCTCGCCCCGAACAAGCGTAACAAGTGCGTCTTCTCAAATGCATAATGATGGATTCGAGCCCACGATAATGTTATCATTACAACACCATTGAGCGCAACATTAAATTAAACACTCAAAATATACATACGTGTCGTTTAAGCTAACAGCAATCGTACAGTGGCCATCGTCTCACCGTCAATTTTACACGAACCACTCGTAAAAAAGTCGCTTATCATAGTCTGTTGTCCCCATTCTGACTCCTGCGTTTTCAGTGTGATACCGCATGCAGTGATAACGCTCGGTACCACGTCGGCAAAGCAAGCGTCTGTCGTGGAGGTGTTCACGATTATAACGACGCGCGTGTGCATATCATCGTCGTTGCATTTGTATTGTGCGACTCGCAACTTATCATTATCATAAACAGCGAAAAATTATATGTTTCTTTACTCTGCATACTCGCTCGCGAATTTTCGCCGAGTGTTCGTTATATCACATATTTTTTGCACGTCCATCCTGTTCCCCTCGAGCTGGCTACTCCGTCATTTCACACGGCTGATTATACACACGTGTAACCGTGCGCACGATCGAGATAACCAGATGCAAAACAAGAGCTATATACACCATACATTTATGCATCATACGTCATACGATGGCTGCGTTCAGAAAAGTTCTCATTGAGCGATTAGTGATTATTGGTCTTCACTGTTAGATCCTTATGCACTCGGACCAATAAAATCGTTGACGAATTACTCAGCCTTTGTGCAACCGTTTTGTGATTTCTGAACACAGCTAATGTTCATTGAGATAAAAAAAGTCTGTTTTTTCGAAGAGCTGAACAATAAGTTCGAGTGAAACAAGTATACTCTTATTTCACTCTCACTTATTGCAGTAGTTATAACCAATTCAGAAGTTTTCCAGAAACGAACAAACCTAAGATGTATTATGATCTGAGCTTTGATACATCACATTCTGACGCTTATTGATATCGTCGATAATATAATCGATTAATTAGAACTTTTTTGGCAGAAAATTTTACTTACCAATGGTAAAAATCTTTTTCATAATTTGTGTATAAGATAAATATTGTTTTTTGTTGAGATGATATGTGGGATAATTTATAGGTTAAAATTATATCTGAAATATACATATAAGAGCATTTTGAAGAAAAATGTTTTAAGGAACTGATTTAATTGAATTTTAGCATAGTTATGAGCGATACAGACAGAATGATGCTTTTGCTGTAAAGCGTGCAAATCGAACGTTGTTAGCCACTTTTTAGCATCCAACTAAACAATGATTATAGCAGAGATTTTTATAACAAAAATCCTACTCTTATTGTAGAGTCTTATTTTGTGAATGTTCATATAAATTAAAATTTTTTAAGCCAACACATAAGATAACTTTATTTATCAACTGAATCTTTTTGAACTAAAAGTTTGTTTAAATTCATCCATCTTACTGAATACAGATAAAGAATTTTATTAGAAATAGGAAGAAAATATAAACTCCAACACAGATTTTATATTTTTTTTTATTCAATAATATGAATAAAATGCATAATATAAAATGAGCACATTAACGGTACGATTTTTGGTACCGTGCTCTGGCACCTGGACCTCCAAATTTTTTTGGCTCGCACCTCCTTGGGTCAGCAACAAGGAGAGTACGATCATACTGAATAAGAATGTCCTTTACTTCCTTTTTACTAGCTTCGTCGACATCTGAAACATCAATCATGTAATCTTCTCTAAAAAATACTTTGCTATCATGAAAATAATATTTATCTTATAATTTCTCTTACATTTTTGATAATAAGCCACGAGTGCTTTGGAAATGGCTTGACGTATAGCATATATCTGTGCAACGTGGCCACCACCATTTACTCTGACTCTTATGTCAACTCCTGAAAACTTTTCCTGGGACACAGATACCAACAAGTATCATTATAGTTATAAGAAATACCTTCATTTAGCAACAATAAGTTTCATACTTATAACCTCAGAATTCTTGTTTCTAATCATGAATTATCATGTTCGGAATAAGTGAAACATCATAAGGTAGAGCAAACTGAGATTAAAAGTGGGAGGTAACAAATAAATAGTACTGCGAATCGATGTTGGATAGCTGTTAATATCACCTTTTCAAGTATGTTTTATATCAATTTACCTTGCCCAGAAGTAGGATAGGTTCTTGCAATTTATATTGCAAAACACGTGGTTCGACCAGCTCCAACGGTCGACCATTGACACGGAGATTTCCACGTCCGCGTTTACAATAAGCGACAGCAGTCGCGCTTTTCTAAAATATATGAAAATTTATATCAAGCACATGGCACAAACGAGAACTGCGGGCAAAATAACCTCACTTATTTTCGTCACAATCTCTTACCTTGCGTCCGAAGACTTGTACCGAATGAATCGGCTCTTTTTGTTTCTAAAAAGAGAAAAGCGTTAAGATATCAATAAAATACATTTGAAACTTATAAGATCTTGTTTGTGCGTAAAATCTTTTAAATTTTACCTTTTGCATCTTGCTCGAAAATCTCGTGCTATAGCCGAAACGGAAAAGATGTACACAATGTGAGACTACCACGTCAATCAAGCGAGAGATCGTTGGAGAAAAGAAAGCATAGACACCGACGAGGTAATATAAAGACTATTTGTAAATTGAATAAATATTTAAATAAATTGGATAAATATTTAAATAATTAAAAATTTATCTAGGATTGTAAACCCTGAATAAATTTTCGTATTGGCCAAGGGGGGCCCCAAGGGGCCCGGAGGTAATTGAAGAGCGTTTGCGGCTGCCGATACCAAGGTATTCAATACCAAGGTATCAATCATGAATCTTTTCCTCTAGCATGAACTCGTGAAAAGTGAACATTTCCATATATTTTTACAGTAGAAAATTTTCATTTCTCACGAGTTCACGTTAAAAGAAAAAATTCATGATTGATACCCAGCGCTGAAAATCCACAGTATACGTGACACAAACTATGTATTTTTAGTACTGGCAGTGAATTTCAGAACGCAGCCTGTATGTTCGAGAAGTGGGGATAAAGCTCACGTAGAAAAAGATGCACCCTGTTCTGTATATTCCCTCACGCAATGGAAGAGGAGGCAGGATGAAATTGCTTTGAGAAGAAAAAAAATGAAGAGCAAAGAGGTAATTTCAATTGAAATCTTACGAAATTATTAATCTCGTTTCTATTGTGGTTAACTAAACCAGCTGATTATTATTGGAATTGACCAATCGCGCTTGTCACCACGAATTAACGTGAAATTGCGATTGGTCAATTCCGTTGGAATAACCAGTTAAATTAACCAAGGTTGGTAAAAACGAACACAAAACCTTGGCAAAAGTGGCCCATAACGGGTCGAATCTATCGTTCGTCTTCTTCTTCAGATGTAACCCAGGTGATATTTATCCATTAGCCAGTCTAGTTGACAAATCTATCGCTCGGGGAATAATTAGGATGAAAAAACATCATACGATAATCGATTTTGTAAGATAAAAATAATCGATGTCAAAATAATCGAAATGATATTGCCCATCCCTGTTGCAAGTTTGCGAGGGTGTGAGCGTGTGAGAGGGAGAAAGAGAGAAAGCTGTTGATCGGTGATGCAATTCCAACCTCCAATCGCGGTACAGTGATATTTAACTGAACTGCTTCTAATTATATTCACCGAACAATGGAGCGTTGGAGAATTTATCATATTAGACGGCTGAAAGCAGAATTAAGAAAGAGCACTGTTGATCGGTGTTAAGTGATATTATTCCGACGGTACACTTGATGGTGCTCCGAATTATATTTGGTCAATTGGCTGTAAGAGACTTGGGTGCAATAGCGCAGGGTATCCTGTGCTTTCATATGTTGTTTATTTCATCCGTTCTATTGGTGATTCATAGTTGCAGCAGTGTGTTAACAGTCGGTAGCAATTGAATTCGAAGTATTTCGATCCGCGCTGAGAAATAAAACGCAACAGCGAGTAGTGTTATGAGTTTAAAGACGGAAATATACTCAGGCTCATCGATACATCGAGTACCGCTAGACACGTTTACGACTGGCATGTGACGGGTTGCATCAATGATGGTCGCATTCAACATCCTAACGTGCACAGGGAACTCCGATGACCGCCGCGTGATTCTTTGCTGACTGTTTTCTCTTTGACGGTGTTAGGTTAAATATGGTAAGAATACCGCACGTACTCTCATATTGCGGATCGTACACTTGTATCGAATGCATTTTATTTCTTGCTGTTGCATTGCAGGAAAATGTCAAGTGTGACAAGATAGTAATGTGGCAATAATAGTCTAGTGCTTGTCTAGTGCATGTAAGCCCCTTCAATTTTTTTTCTCATATTGCTTTAAAAACCTCTTAGAATATTCCCAATTTTTCCAGGCCGACTCTCCATCGCTGTCAAGTAAAACCTGGCTTGTTGGATGCAGCAAATGCATGCTATATAAACAAAATGCTGAGCATGCATGTACCATATACCGCATATACCATATATACACACACACACATACACACACACACTCATGCATGCATGTGGTACTGGCTCTCCATAATAGTTCCTCGTGTTTTGGTAGATGGCAGAACAAATAGCGCTTCACGGCTAAGCCCGTGCGATTCTGCTCCTTGGTTTCGTGACGTCGGAATGGACGCGAACGGGAACGGAAAATGCGTTCCCCGTTCCTCGATAGTGTATTCTTATCGGCGAGCAGCCAGCAGCGATGTGAGTCGAATGTCCGCGCTCTCGAAAGTACCTCGAGAATTAGCGTAACGCGGCGATGCAGCCACAAACAAGAACTTGCATTCACCCTTCTTCTAACCTGTTCTTCGACAGCATTCCCATACGGCAATTTTTGTTATAATTTCATCCTGATCGAAATAATACCGCCAAATACCTAATAATTGATAATAACCACAAGTAATGATACTTATAAATATATACAACATGTGTGATATACCATAGCTGTTCCCATGTGTAGTTTGCATATTGCTTTGTATTTGACTGTAGATAGTGTTTATGTAAAATGTGTCTTCTCTTGAAGAATACGCTCTGAAAGAAAAGATTATTTCTTTCGGATGTCACAGAGAGAATAAACTCAGTATAAGACAATTGTGTCCAGCAGATGGCAATTTTCTTTTGCTCATAGTGCTTCAATGATGATTACTCAAGTTTTTTTCTTACTTTTTGCCTTGTTGTTTTATTGTTTTATTTTTCTTGATGTTTCAGGAAGGAAACAGGACAGATTTGGAGTTTATTTATGATGACACTGACATACACGCCAATGAAATTGCAGAATTGTATAGCTATACAGAACAATATGAATTACAACTTAATCTTAAGGTAATATTCTGTCTTGATAAATTTTTCTCATGATAAAAGTGAGCAAAGCTAGTCAAGTTTATAGCAGAAAGGTAGATTCAATATTTATTTTTGCAAATTCCAGGCATTTGAGGATCAGATGGAGTGGTACAAGTTACGACCGTGGTGGCTAAACTTGACAAGGCCACAACAGAAGTCAGTGATCTACAAATTGTTGGATCAATTGGAGATCTCTAATAAGCAGCTTAGGATGAAGGCTGCTCGATGCATTCTTTATTTGGCTCAGGGTTGTTGGGCTGAGGTACAGTCTGACAAGGAACAACAAGACTGGACTAGGACAAACGTAATGTTACTTTATGAAGCTGGCATTTTTCCAGCATTTGTTGAACTGCTAAACATTGAGATTGAGTAAGATCGTTTGTACCTGCTAAAATCGACATGTACAAATATATTGCCTGACTTTCCTATATATATATTGAACGATTATTTGCAGAAATAGCACAACTGCTACCTCAGCAATGAGAAAGCTAGCTGTTAGTCTCGCTGATTCGATAGACTTAAGAGTCATTCTGTCCGTTTTGTACATTATAACAGAAGCTATGAGGGAAGAATTGAAAAATATCGAGCAGAGCGATTACAAGGACAATGTTGAAGCTTTCAAAGAGGACCTCGGTATGTTACTACATTTGCTCGGTGCGCCTTAATGTATCACAATCTGGGAAAGCTGCATCTCTGTAAAATACTAGTGGATAAATGTTTCCTCCGCAGTAAATCCGTACGGAGAAGAGTTACTGATTGTTAAACTTCTCGGCATGGTGACGTGCTTCTGCAGCGGCTCAGCGCCACATTTTCCCATGAAGAAGGTTCTTTTGCTTCTGTGGAAGCTAATCTTGGTCTCTCTTGGCGGCATCGACACGCTCAGAGAGTTGAAGAAGCAATATCGCGAGGAGGCCGGTCTCGACACGCAACAAGAAGATACTATCGAGGTCGCCAGAACTATGAGGGCCAGCTCTCCGCCCATGAGTGCGGCAGATCTAATTGAAACGCAGAATCAAAAGAGGAACAATCGACCGTTTCGTCGGGTAATTCAACATTGATCTGAAATTGCCATATATATATATATATATATATATATATATATATATATATATATATATATATATATATATATAGCTCGCGGTAACGCTCGCGTGCAGCTCTTACATCGTCAGATGCTTTCCAGAGTCTGATGAAACAAAGCTCGTTGGATGATCCAGGCTTAGGTATGGAATACGAAGGAGGGGAACCTGCAAACAATACTGCAACGAACGAGGGTGACGGTGAACTGATCGTATTCCTGGGGCCTGGCGGACCTGGCAGTTGGAACCAGACGTATTACGAAGATCAGAATAACCAGTCGCAATTGAGGCCAAGTACTCCGCAGCTTATAAAGGGAAAGGGTAAGATCTTACCTCGGTTCTGCCAATTCGTGTCTGATGTTAATTTACGACATCGCTGATTAGGTTTACCTTGGACACCCAAGGTGAGGCAAAAAGATGTAGACAGTTTCCTGGAAGTCGCGAGACTGAAATTCGTCGGTTATAAGTTACAAGGCGACAGGGAGAGTTTAGCGGGTTTGCCTCAACCAATTCACGAAGGCGTTACTACCCTGAAAAAGGTATCTTTACATGTCTTCTTATCTAGATATTTTCTATCGTAGTACCCCCCGTACGGCACATGTACTGATATACTGATTGCTATATATTTTAGCATATGTACACGTCTCTAGCTGAAACTCAAATACGAAAGGAGGAGGAGATAGCGAGAAATCCGATGAGCACTTCGGAACCGCCACTTCGTCAGACACCGACGGAGATTCTTTATCAAGCCATATTACCGAATTTACCGCAGTACATGATCGCGTTGCTGAAGATATTGCTCGCTGCTGCACCAACTAGTAAATCTAAGTCGGACAGTATTAATATCCTGGCTGACGTGTTGCCGGAGGAAATGCCGTGAGTACGAACAATAATGTGTGACAGTTACATGCCTGTACTTTCTACAGGATGTTAAATAACTTGTCTCTTTTCATTTATTGATATAATTTTATGATACTAGAGTGTGATTGGTTGTCATATCTACTCGCGTTTTTAGAATGACGGTGCTGCAGTCGATGAAACTAGGAATCGATGTTAACCGGCACAAAGAGATAATTGTTAAAGCTGTTTCCGCAATTTTATTACTGTTACTTAAGCACTTGAAATTGAATCACATATACCAGTTCGAATTTATGTCGCAGCATTTAGTGTTCGCCAATTGCATACCTCTTGTATTGAAGTTCTTAAACCAAAACATCATAGCTTATATTGAAGCGAAGAATGTGTAAGTACAAACGCGATTGCGAAACCGCGATTTTCTTCCGGTCGTACGTACTCCGACTCCGACTCTAGACGTAACCGCTGATTTGTATCGCCGTAGTATTCCTATTCTGGACTTCCCCATGTGCGTCATCGGTGATCAACCGGAGTTAACCACCGAAAGTCTTGAAATCGGTCACAGTCAAAGCTTCTCCTGGAGGAACGTTTTCTCTTGCATTAATTTGCTAAGAATTCTGAACAAATTAACCAAGTGGAAACACAGTAGAATAATGGTGAGTCAGTTAGCTAAAATTGCTCATATCAGAGAGATTGCAATTATACGGAAGAAGAAAAAAAAAGAGATAATTAACACGCGCTCGATTCATTCACACACACACAGATGTTGGTTGTTTTCAAATCAGCGCCCATTTTAAAACGCACGTTGAAAGTTCGACATGCGATGATGCAGTTATATGTATTAAAATTATTGAAAATGCAAACCAAGTACCTCGGTCGACAGTGGAGGAAGACGAACATGAAGACCATTAGTGTAATTTATGCGAAGGTCCGACATCGTCTGAACGACGACTGGGCGTATGGCAATGGTAATTAATTTGAAGTATTTTCGACGATAGCGAAATTGACAAGTGCATGAGAATCACATGTCCTAATCACGTCGATCGATTAGATTTAGAAGCGCGGCCGTGGGACTTCCAAGTGGAAGAGTGCGAGCTGCGCACCTGCGTCGATCAGTTCAATAATCGAAGATATTCGAATGCACCGAGAGACGAGGAGCTGGAGCCGGTCGACGCGTCAGTCACGTCGGTGCTCGGTGCGAGCGTGGAATTGACGGAGGAATTTAAACAACACTACGAATTGTGGTTGCAGCAGGAAGTATTTCAGAGGAGTATCAATTGGGACGAACTGCTGGACCCCGCGGCGTGTGAAATTTAAGTTTGTTAATAAGTGTGAAACGCGTATAGAAATCGTATTTTCATTAAATCACAGACCTCGAATGAAATTTCGACGTTTCTACGAATTACATGGCGTTGTGAGAAGTGTTCAAGAGAAAAAGAAAGAATGAAAGGATAGAAGGAGAGGAAGAACATTGCCATATCGACTCTGCAAAAGTTTCAGACAAGTTGCATTTGGTACCGCGGTAAATGGTCCTATTCTGAAAAAAAGGAAGATTTAGCGAAGAAACTGGCGTCTTTCAACACGATTACTTCCGGTGAAACGTGCATAACGTTTCGGATTTCTTTTGTATTCAATTTGTGCAATGTGCAAATGCTTGTAGTCATTTCTTTATCGTTAGATATCGCTAATTTTACGCAAACGTACTTCCCTCTCTCGTCATGATTATCGGGACGTAACGCGCGTTTTAGTAAAGTACCTTGATTCTCTCGCCGTTAACGATCTGGATTTCCCTGACTTAAAAGTCAGTGTGCATCGTAACATAATTTACACGTACCGATACGCCAAATTCAATTTTCCTACATTTTATATGTTTTCTACATGTTCGCGACCCTTTCTACATCATGTCTGGTACAATGAACTCGGAGAGAATTTTAATGTACGAGTGCAGAGGCTATCTTACTTCTTCTCGATCTGCACCATATTTTATAACATTATAACTATTACATATAAATATTCGCATATATCTTCGGCTCACCATTAATCATGACATCAATTTGTATCTATATATTCATGTATAGTTGGTCTTATCGTATAAGGGAGAGCTGAATAATAGCAGGATTTTAGGGAGTCGTGAAATATAGTGTAAAATGCAGGATGATTGGCTGTCGCTTATCTTGATACACGTAAATTAAGGATTTTTCACAGTAGGTACAAACACACACATATACCTACACGACACACATACACACACATTTACACATGGCAATTCAACTTTCCCTTATTTATAGTCATTGTAATTGGATAATCTCAAAAATTCTAGTATTGTATAATTTATGTTATTAAAGATCTTGTACAGAGTACGCGATTGGCATCATGTTTAAATCATTAAGGTTTAATAAAACTGATCTACATAATTAGGAAGTGCGAAATTTATTTCATCGCAAGAGCAATCAGGATATACTCTTGAATTGTTTTGACGTTTTGACCTCCGATGCGAGATTTTGATAAAAAACCAAACAAAATATAGGAACATAGAGACGAAACATAGAAACAATTGTAAATCAGATATATATAAAAAGACAGATGTATATATATATATATAAAAATATTATATAAAACTGTAGAAATAGATCGAGTGTCAAACTTTCGGAATGTGACAATCACAGGTTTTTTCATATGTTCAGCTAAGTCGTAGATTTATGTCGAGATTTGTACTTTGCACGAGCATGAATCTTTCGCGCGGCAGACGATGTTAATGTCACGGTTTCACCCATTTGTACGAACCATAGTAAGCAAAATTATTTTCCTTTGCCATATCGTCAGCTTCTTTCGGTCCTCGAGATCCGTACCTGAAATATTCAATGAAGAATCAGATGTTTTGCGATAGTCATTTGAAAAATATTTGTTCCGCTTGCATATTACATGCCACTCACTTGTAAAGTATCGGCCGGATTTTCTCCTTGTCGATCCGGTGCAGCAATGGTGTGAATATGCGCCACGCTTCATTCAATTCGTCGCTTCGCACGAAATGCATTTGCGATCCGCAAAACACGTCCAGGATTAACCTTTCGTACGCATCCGGTAATTTCAAGCCCTACAAAAAATATGGTACGTTCTTCGGTCGTCCTTCGTCGACGCAACTTGTCGCGCTCTATCATATCGTTAACCTAGAGCTAAGCTTCGTTCTTTGATTCTTGCGTAAGTTGCTCACCTTGTATCTATTGCTGTAAGTGAGATCCAATTCCGTTTCCTCCATGTCGAACGTGATACCGGGTGACTTTGTCATCATTTTGACGTACAACGCTTCGCCAGGCTGCACCCTTATCACCAACTCGTTCCTCTTCGCCTTCCCGTCGAAGATGTCGCCAGGTACATCCTGATACTGGACCCTGACTTCGGCCTTTCGTTCGTTCAGAGCTGCGACACGTCGCCAACGTTAGAGGAGACAGTCCGTCGTTCGCCAAGCGAAGGATCTCCTCCGAGTACATTTACCTTTCCCGCACCTGAGGATGAACGGTACTCCGTCCCATCTTTCGTTGTTTATCTTCAACACGGCGAATGCGAAGGTCGGCGTGTTGGAGTCGGACGGCACCGTGGGATCGTCCAAGTAGCTTAAACGCGCACTCGGATCCTCCGCTTCCGGATCGCCGACGTACTGACCGAGGACCACTTGCTCGAGCTCCAGTTCCTTGATGCACCGCAGAACCTTCACCTTCTCGTTCCTGATGTCGTCCGGGTGGCACGATACGGGCTTCTCCATAGCCACCAGAGACAAGATCTGCAGCAGATGATTCTGCATCACGTCGCGAATGATGCCGAACTCGTCGAAGTAGCCGCCTCTACCCTCGGTGCCGAACGGCTCCTTGAAAGTGATCTGCACCGAGGCTATATTGTCCCTGTTCCACGTCGGGTTGAACACTCGGTTGCCGAAGCGCAGGGTCATCAGGTTCTGTACCATCTCTTTGCCGAGGTAATGATCGATACGATAGACCTGCTCTTCGCTGAACAGCGACGCTAAGTGATCGGAGAGCACTTTCGACGAGGCTGCGTCGAAGCCAAACGGCTTCTCGATGATGACCCTCGTCCATCCTCTGCAAGTTTATCGTGAATTTTAGCTGGAAGCTGCCTCATAAAGGGAGCAACTTGAAGGCGCTCTCATTTCTCTCTCTCTCTCTCTCTCTCTCTCTCTCTCTCTCTCTCTCTCTCTCTCTCTCTCTCTCTCTCTCTTTCTCTCTCTGCGAGGTAATTAAATGAATTCACGGAGAACATTCTCCTGATATCGTGAGTGCTACGGGGAATATGCTGAATGCTTGATAGGATCATTCCTCAATTTATTGCTACTTCTACAAATTTCAAGGGTCACACATTGCTTACTTGTCTCCCATACAGGCATTTTTGATGTGCACCGTTGCGTTGTGGAAGACGGTCGGCGGCAGCGCCAAGTAAAAGATCCTGTGCGCGACGTTCCCCTGCTCGTGTTTCTTTAATTCGTTATTCAGCCTCTGGAAGTCTTCGTGCGAGTCATACGTGCCGGAGACGTAATGATTCAACTTCCAAAATTCGTCGCACTTCCCGGCCTCGTACGACTTCACATTCATGTACGGCTCGCACTTCTCGCGCAGTTTCTGCAGCGTCAACGGCGACCTGGCGTAGCCGACGAATGCGGTGGGTTTCGGCAGGAGACTGTCCCGGAAGAGACACCAGAGGACCGGGTAGATCTTCTTCTTGGCGAGATCACCCTTTTTTCGTCGCCAACATGCGTCTCATTAGTGTCTCATTAATAAAATCGCTCGACGGAATCGAACGTTGAGAAAATGTGTCTGTGAAACGCGTGAATCTCGACATTTGAAAATAAAATTTTCGCCCAATTATTCGCGCTTTCGAATTTACATTTGGTCGCGTCACTGATCGTTTCTACGCGGAAAAAATACTCTATTTGTGTAGCTCGTTTCCTGCCATCTAAGGGAAAGAAATGATTCACGTAACTGACGACTTCTATCTAACGATTTATTATCTAACGACCAGACGAAGATACGACAGAAAGATTCGTGTGGAAAATTCTTTTGGAAGATTTCTTCACTTGTTCTCTCCCCCGACTTGACTGTCCCAAACGAATTTCAATGCGGCCGAATACTTCTCCGATTTTTTCTCTGTACTCTAGACTGCTCTTGAAAAAGTTGCAAACTTACAGACGCCCCGAGAATAATGAACACATGAGGAATATGCCTGTCGAAGTGAGTCCCTTCCAAATGGTCCATCTCGTTTGACTTGAGAGATTGCCTGATGTACAGCAGGCTCTCCTCCGTCGATATCTCTAGGAAATTATTAATATCACGTATTGTTGCGTATCCATGCACACGAATACATTACATTTTATAATGCACATTGTACTATATTTCCGGAGCTTTATGTAACGCACATGTCATTACGATATGGTGTATCTACTGTGTATAAACTTTCGTTAGTCAAAAGTTGCATTATTCCTTCGTACTTTAAATACTCTTTACAATTAGTCGCTCAACGAATGCATGCATTGAAACTATACAAACGACCTCCAACATATTTATTACTGAATAAAAGAAATAATTTAAATTTTAATAGCAGATTCTTCTCTCTCTCTCTCTCTCTCTCTCTCTCTCTCTCTCTCTCTCTCTCTCTCTCTCTCTCTCTTTCAAATAAATTTGACGCAAAAAAACGTGAAAGAATAAACGTGAAGAAATAAACGATGTTTTGAAAAAAAAACCGACATTGTGTAACATGCAATGTTGCATAATGTAATTATTATATTCATTACATATCATATCGATGAAGGTAGCTGCCAAAATTACTGTTATTGTTATTATTAAAAAAAGAAAGAAAAGAAATTTCTCCATTATTATATCGATCATCGAGACTGCATGAAAAAATTATAGTATTTTCTTTTGTATTAATTTCTATTTTTGTACTACACTACGTGTTATTTTTAAACTTGCAGTTGACTCGTATAATTTATATGAAACTAGCGTCATGAAGATATACCATCGCTTTACTTATATCGTAAAATAATATTTAGATATTCATGAAAGTTGGCCGGTACGTAGACGAAGCTTTAACGATATTTCTTGCATGTTTATTTGTATAACATTTTGATCGTACGATAATCGTAACATTGACTGCGTTATGACTACGTATCTCGAATTACATATATATTGATCTTTATTATTATTTCGGTTTTAGATATGACCGCGCAGCGTCACAATTTCTACTTTTTATTTTGACTCACATTCGATCGGCCGTACAATGTTACTCCAACGTGAAAATTGAACTGTACAGGTTTAGTCCGAAATAAGCAGTCAGAATCTTTGTCGTACAATAACATGAAGATATTTGCCAAAATATTCCAAATGTATCATGGAAACAATTTTTAATGACAATGTACTTTTATTGTCCTTTTCTCTGTACGTACATCCGTAAGATTTTTACGAGATTATCTATTTAACGTCTAAAAAAAAATAAATTACTTGTGAATTATTGCGTGTAATATTTCACATCTTGAAAAAAATATACCTACTGAATTTATTTCAACAGTTCATCGTACTTCAAAGTTTAAAAATCAAAAATAATACAGAAGAAAAGGATAATTTCAACATGTGCCCTCGAAAAAGTTTTGGATTTACTCGCAAACAGTGCAATTTTCTTTTTTATATAATATTGATTAGTAGCTCTTTCGATTAGTACTTCGAACTTGCCAGTTGTCAGTTACATCTTAGTACAAAAGATAAGTGCGATTCGACGTTTGAACTTACTCGGGAGATTCTTCGCAGTTTTCATGGTTCCGCAGGTTGCAAAGTTGAAAGGACACTAAATGAGCCGTGCAATCGATTATTTATAAAAATTGAATTCGCTGATCTTTCTCGGCAATCCAGCCACTTCAGCTGCGACGCGTTGACTGAGCGTCAAGTCGACCTGCCGTGTATCTTGGCATTCTTCGAAAAACATGAACGCTTGCGAGGTAATTGTGAACGATCCTAGATAAACAGCTTAAGCCAATCGGCCCGTTTGCTGTTAATGCTTTCCTTTCCCTCCTTTTTCCGTAAGTATCTTCGTACGCGCATAATTTCGTATTTTTACGTTAAACGGAGTTTTATGCGAGTATATAATTAATGCTAATTATTCTTGCCGAGTGCACATACGTCCGTGACATTCGGCCTTAAAAGAAAAAAAGGACAGGAAAACAAAAAATATCGACGAAGACACGCGCGAGCAGGTAAAAGTCAACAAAATATCTGCCCGTGCACTAATTAGAAGCGTATTGAAGTAAAATGACCATCCACGCTATTATGTAACGATGTGTTACGCGGAGAAGTTATAGTCAAGGATATCTGACGGTAATGACGCAAAAAGAATGAGCATATATCTTTGGCGGATGTACAAAGTGAACGAAAGTCGATACATGTAAGACATTTTTTTTCCTCTTCTCCTTCTTCTTCTTTGTTATCGTCGTTTTTTCTCTGTATCTTTTTCTTATAGACATCTATCTGTTTCAGGATATGGATTCAGGATGGTTCGGGATTCAGGATATCAGCCTACATGGAAAAGAAAATGTCGGGTCGTATAACGTCTCCGTGTTATCGCAACTGGAAACTCTTGTCTGAACATTTATCTGCCTTAAAACTCGGCAAAGATACCTGAGAGCAATTTAATGTGTAGAAACCTCCAGGTAGGAATCTTTTCTTTTCCGCAATCGAATTTTCTGCCAAGACTCAAGTAACAGGAATTCAGCTAGATCGAGTTCTCCTTTTTCCGCACACGCTGTTTCTCTTTCTTCCATATTCCGTTACGAACCTTTTTAGACATCTTTAATAAAAACCGGTTGCATCGGAACGTTGAATCAAATTCAATGACCGCAGAGATAATCACTCAGCGACGATCACTCAAATTGCTCATAATTGCTGACTGGATACACAGCAAAAGAAACGTCTCGTTTATGTGACAGTCCAGCAGGGACTAAACGAAAACTCATAAGGAATTTCATCAGGGTTCATCAGGAATGATATCTCTGTCGCAAAGAACGAAAATTCACTTGGTTACGTGAAAAATTCGATTGAAATAAATAAATAATTAGGAACAATAAAGTGAACACAGACCTCTCTTGTAGGAACAAGAATCTTCTCCTCTAAGGATAGGAATCTTTTTGTCCCCACGAGAGCAAATTTTTATCTAATCTGCAGACAATAGGAGATCTATTTGAACGAACCGAATCTTTTGTCCCTGTGATATGGCGTCTCTGTTCATAAACTTATCATGTGAAACCAAGGAATGTATAATATATATTCAAGCTAACTTGTAACGCTAATGGGTAACGCTTAAGACATCATTTATTTCATAATCACTTTGATATTATACAAATGCGAGTCAGAACGCGAAAAGTTAAGTTAAGAAACTTAAGAAGCAAAACAAGAACGTTGACTCCATTCGATCAAAGTTTGATGACGATGAAAAATTCGCCGGTCAGAGTGGCGAAATCACAATTTTCCATCGTCGCGAATTATTTTACAATATTCACGAAGCTCGATCGAGATTGTCAATTACGTGAAATAGATTTCTATCTCTTCGCAGAGATAGAACTGATAAAAATTGAGCAAATCGCAGATTGTTATTCGAAACATTTCTTATCTTCGTCACGCTCGCTCTCTCTCTCTCTCTCTCTCTCTCTCTCTCTCTCTCTCTCTACTTGTATTTAAAATATATTTTATTGTTATAAAAATTACAAAACTTCTTCCCCGTACAATTAAAGAGAAAGAAGCCCATAATTATTATTACAAGTTAATATAAACAATCATTTACGCAGTAAATTCTTCAAGTACCTGAAATTATTTTTTTTTCCAAATAAATGTTGCATTCACTCTGGCGTTATTAACATCAACGAGCAACGAACTTTTACGAGAGGCGATCAACGCGATTGACGGACAGATTAGATACGTAATTGCACCCTTGTGCAACATTGTGTTGTGCAATATGCCAGCGGCATTAAATTAATGACACGGACCTACTTTTTAAACTGGCCTGAAATGAATCACACCGACGACTGCGAAACGCTTTCTTTCTACAGGAGATTACGTTGTTCCCCTTCTTCGATTTTCACAATGTTACGATTCGGTTCGGCGACACGACACGAGAAAAAAAGACGACTCACCGTCGTCGTCGTAGAATACAATACCTTCGTCATTCTCGATTCCCGATGCTCCTCGACCGGGCAACCTATTGTTGTAATTATCAGAGAAAGATCTGACAAGCTCGACCTGTCGCAAATCCCGCTTGAGAGCTACCGTATATATTACCGCCGTTTACATCTCGCGATAACAAGCACACGGCCAGTGTGCGTGCCGTCATTTATCGCGCGGATATTATTTTCTCCGTGTCCGAATAGAATTCTTCCTTGGCGCGTGAGACTGCGTGAGAGAAGGAGAGAGAGAGAGAGAGAGAGAGAGAGAGAGAGAGAGAGAGAGTGAGAATAATAAAAAAGATCGTACGATCTTATCGCCGAGTTTCCACATAGAACGCAGCCTTATGACGGTCGCGCGCGACTCGTCACGCTTTAATCACGCGAACACGCGATTCCGTTTTATCTGCGACGCGGTGAGCCTTCGCACTCGAAGTCCACCGATATCCAAGTAGAATTCGAAAATAGCCGCGCATTTGAAATCGCGAAGTGACCTCCGCCGCCTTGCAGTCTAACATGCAGCTAAGTCGCTGTCATACTCCCGATCGTCTATTTTCTACGTTGTCTTGTGTATCTTTGATTTCAAAATCGATCACTTCCGTGCACGGGGTATACGCCTATGATTTTTCTTCGTCCGAAATGTTTCGACACAGCAATTGTTTCACGCGTCAGCGTTCGCGTTTGTTCGGCTTTAAACGCGCGCTTTAAATAAACGCGTCTCATTCGTCGAGCATATTCTCGACGAACGCGAATGGTATTTCGCGTTCATAAGGAATTTCATCGCATCGTCATGATGATCACTGCATTAAATCCGTTTTGTACCTCGGTCGTACAATGCGACGTTAATTTCAACTTTGGGCGATCATCGGAAAACGCATTATCCGCGGCCGGATTAACGTTCGTTAACGTCAAACGGCGCGAGGACTTGAGGGAACTCGACTAAAGTCACGCGACTGCGTAACGTACGAGACACTCTGAGCTGCTGAGTCATTATTATTTATGTTCTAGTCACGCTGCATTATCACGTCCGTAAGCTCAGCGCACCGCAAAAAATCAGGAGAATTAACGCGGTAAAATCGGTCGACGTGTCGCGTGAACTAAGAAAAAGAAACTCACTAACGAAATCGTCACGTGAATTCAGCGAGCTTAACATTTCACAGGGAAACAACACATAGGTGTGGTTAGTGACAGTATATTAGTACATTTAGAGGCAAAAACGATCATTCTGCGATATTGCATTTAATTAAATTAAATTAAATAAAGACAGATAACCACGTTTATAGCGCGTCAGGTGCGAGTCACGAGTGCACACCACCATGTCTATTCTTAGTTGCGAAAATGCAATAATTGTGCGAAACGCGAAACATTCCTCCGCGTCGATAATATCGGAGGAACAAAGTCGGGAGAAAAGATTCCGCGGTAAAATTTCTCTCGAGCAAAACTCACTTCTTCTGTGTTCCGCCATCGTTGTTCTTCGTTTCACGTGGAAGTTCAGCTGTCTGCGAAAATTCGTCGCTTCTTCACGCCAGCGTTCTCGAACGACGAGCGACCTTGCCGCCAAAATGACACACCTCACGCACAAATTGGAGGTTAAATGCGCGGAGTAATATACCGCTCTGCACCAAGGCGAGGTGTGGTGTACCCGTTCCCTCAAGGAGTCCCCCCTCTCTGTATTTCGCCGACGATCTCCTGATTCCCCCGTAGGCAAAAATCGCCATTCGATTCCCTCCCCACGTCGCGATCCGCGATTTGTTCTTTTATTATTTTATCGTCGCGATCCCGAAAACTATAACGAGCACTAGAATACAATTTTGAGAGTCGTTTAACGCGATTTACGCAATATTCCCCACTCTACGTAAAACCTGTTTCTCTCTCTATACTCTCGCGCACTCTGCATGAGTACGCGCGTTTGTTCCCGGCAGAGGAAGAAAGCAATAAAATCATGTTCCCAAATCGAAATCTTCAAAAGAACGAATCTACTCGAAATTCGGAAAACCAGTCAGTGTGTATTCGCGCGCTGTAAAAGTCAATTCGAATGTAATGTGATTTGAGGTAACGCATTGTAGTCGTATGTCGCACGAATAAGATTAAATTGAAACGTTTCAACCGTAAGGTGCTGCCATCTATTATTATTAGCACATAGTCGTATTTGTATGTACGCTATTTGTACAGCGTGATCACAGCAGCGTCGTTCGCGCATACAAAGCTAATGTATGCCTGTAAATATTGTTTAACCCTTTAACTGCTGAGATATTAAATGACCAGTATGACCCTCTTTGCTGAGTTCTTTTTACAATTATAAAATATTTTATAATGATATAAGATCATGCAAAAATGTACACATATAACGGCTCTCTTTTCTTTTTCTTTGTGCCAATGTAGTATTTGAATATACATGACAATGCCTAGTGGCATTGTAGCAGAGAGGAAGCTGAGAGCGGCCAAAACGGCGTTTTCGGTGACACCGATTTCTCTGCACTGGAAATGGGCGCCATCTGCATCCATTTTGAGAGGAGAATTACGATGCCACATCCACTTTTAAGTCTTGGTGGTAAAATCTGCACGTGGTGAAAGTCCGTGCTACATTCGCTTTCAGGCGATTTATGTCCGTGCTGCAATCATAGTTATTATCTCTATGCTAGACAATAGGCCTGTTCGTCTTGTCTGCACTGCTGAACTGATGCAACAAGTTGAAGTGAGAAAATCTACGTTTGTTTCTAAAAAGAACGGGTGGAGGGGGAGGGAGCAGGAAAAATAAAAGTACACTTTTACTTTTAAAAGTTTATGTACATATATTATAAAAACTTATGTTACGTACATAATATATATCTTAAAAAAGAAAATAATTTGAATTTGAGATTTCTAAAAATATTAAGTTAAGTATACAATAATCATATATATATATGTCAGGTTTCTCAATTGGCGCTACTGTTCCAATATATCACTTCTTTTGTACAGTAGAAAAGTGTTGCAGAGTTTTATTATAGTTATAAGTTTTACATGTAAAAACTTATGTACACATATATACAAAAAAAATAATTTGAGTTTGATACTTCTAAAAATAACACAATACGTGTTGCGCTTGTACTTGGCGCCTTTTTTTTACCTTTTCGTTTAAAAAGGTAAGTTTTATATAATATTAAATATACGTACGTTTCACATATAACTTGATTGACGTGGAGTACTCCGTGCCCACGGTGTTTGTTATTCATAACGACGCATTCATACTTTCCCTGATCTGTTACATCGGATTCGATAATTTGCAAGGCACCTGAAACATAAAATGCGATATTCTCGAACAGCGTTCCTCTCAGAATTTTCTTGTCCAAAGAAAGATCAATGATGCGATCGCAGATCTCGTGTATGTCATGTCAAAATAGAGACAGTTTGAATTCGGCGTAATATGATTCTTGGAATAGAAGTAAATAAGTATTGTGAAGTTTGAAGCGAGTCTCTCACAGGCATGCTTTGAAAACACGAGTTGTTTTCGTTTTCAGCTAACGGACGACGCAGGCATCAACACTGATCGGCAAGGTGGGGGGTAACCGTGCCTTCCCGATTGTTTGTTTTCGTACGCTTATATATGACTCCAT